GGAGCGAGGGGTTATCCAGACCAGCCACCCGAGGTGGCCCCAGTACTACTGGTGAGCGGTGGTGCGGAGGTGGGCGGGGGCGGGCGGGGTCAGTGCTGGCGGCCCAGCACCCCAGGGGCCAAGGTCCATGCCCCACCAGCACCCATGAGCATGTATGGTGTGGGGCCCGGGAGGAGGTCACGTGACTCCCACGTGGGGAGGGGGGGAAGTCACTCCCCCATGTAGTAGTCTTAGAGGATTTTTCATAAGTTGGGCAGTGGATACTGGCATGTCTGAGTTGTCGCACCCCCCCCTAACTTTTTCATATGAACTCCGATTAAGCTAATTTTGTGTACATAGTTAGGGGATGGTCCAAGGGTATTCCAGAAAAAGTTCATAATTTTTTGACGAGGGAATTATTTTATAGGAATTTATTTCGGAAGGATTTTCCTAGTAAAATCCAAAACGGGCAGAATACGCATCGACGGGCCACGAAAATTTGCAGGCAGCATCCTGAGGTCATTATCTACCAAAACAACCGAGGGTGGCATGGGGAAAAATGCACGGATTTTGAGACATGCTGTGGTTGGGTGAAAACAGGGTGAAAACTTGCGTGACGGCACGGCAGCGCCCATGCCATGGTGTGGGAAATTGCACCACAACCTCAAAGAACCTGATTTTTGCGACCATCTCCTTTTGCCTTGATTTTTTGCACACAGAGAGGGGATGGCCTGGACGTTGTTGACAGCAAGTTTAGGGTGATTTGGTCGAGCAGATTTTTTTATATGAATTTCGGAATGTTTTTCCTCGTAAAATCCAAAACGGGTAGAATACCCGTCGAAATGCCACGAAAATTTGCAGGCAGCATCCTGAGGTGATTATCTACCAAGAAGACTAAGGGTGGCATGGGGAAAATGCACGGATTTTGGGATATGCCGTGGTGGGGCGAAAACAGGCTGAAAACTCGCGCCGTCGCGCGGTAGCGCCCATGCCATGGAGTGGGAAATCGCGCCATAACCTCAAATAACCTATTTCTCGTGACCATCTCGGTTTGCCCTGATTTTTTGCACACGGAAAGGCCATTGGCTGGAGGTCATCCACAGCAAGTTTGGAGCGATTTGGTCGAGCAGATTTCGCTGGGCGGGATGGGGCAATGCGGAAGTTGGCACGATAGCAAAGCATCAACAGGCCGTGAACCTCGAAATCGTGCGGGCCACGGCGTTGGTGGCGCAGCACAGCACGGACGGCCGAGCATTAACCCCAAAACTGAAAAAATGGGCATTTTTGAAGGGGGGGATGCACGCATGCTGCCGTTCTGCTGGGGGTTGGGGCTGGGGCTGGGGCTGGCCGCAGCAACGCAGCACAAGACCTATTGCATCGCGGCA